GCCTCCCCATTACTTCTGCTATCAATTTGTTTTCTCATTCTTCCCTCTCCTTCCTACCTTCCCCCTTCACCTTCTTGCTGCCAGGTACGCCTCGGCCCTGCAGGACACAGTGGACACCCACAAACTGTTCAGGAGCCGCTCCCTGAGAGAGTTTGAGGAGACCCTCTTCTGCCACACCAAGAGTTTCCCCATCAGCTGGGACACCTATTGGGACCACAACGACCCCCTCCGGGATGTGGACGAGGCCGCCGTGCCTGTGTTGTGTATCTGTAGTGCTGATGACCCCGTGTGTGGGCCCCCAGACCACTTTCTGCCCACCGAACTCTTTCACAGCAACCCCTACTTCTTCCTCCTGCTCAGTCACCACGGAGGCCACTGTGGCTTCCTGCGCCAGGAGCCCTTGCCAGCCTGGAGCCATGAGGTCATCTTGGAGTACTTCCGGGCCTTGACTGAGTTCTTCCGAACGGAAGAGAGGATGAAGGGGCTGAGCAGGCGCCGAGCTTCATTCCTAGGGGGCCGCCGTCGCTGGGGAACCCTGCAGAAGCGGGAGGTCTCTCCCTCTTCCCATCTGGAGGAGATCTTTAGCTGGAAGCGATCGTACACAAGGTGAGACCTGGCCCAGGAACATCCCTAGTCCTGCACAGAAGAGCAGGGCTGGGCACGCCAGAGTCCTGAAAAGGTAGTGAGGACTGAAGGCGGCAGGCGGTCCCAGCTCTTGATCACTGATTCAGCCCCTTCTCTCTTGAACTGGTCCGTGGGAAGAGATGGGACTTCCAGCAAGCTGGTGCTCACTTTACCCGGAGAACACTCCCGCCCCAGGCTTTGCTCAACACATCCTGGCTCTTCCTGGTCAGCAGCTGGGCTGTCACTGTCACTGTCACTGTCTCCTGTCATCAACCTCCTAAACCAAAGAATAGCACCATTTAAGCCATGGATTCAGGAGAAAATATTCTCTCACTCAAAAGGACTACAGAGAAAATGGGTTTATGTATGTCATCGGGGAGCTGTGTCCCACATAAATAATCAGCTCTGTGACCCTGATTCTTGATCTGGAGCCACTCACTGCAGTGAGGACAGGATGTTTGTGTCTTAGTCCCACTTCCCTCATTCGGTTCTGTGGTTGTGGCTCTCTGCTGACTTCATGCTGTGGCAGCTGTGGAAGCTCCTAGAGCGGTGTGGCTGTGTCAGTCTTGCGTGAGTGTGAGAAAGGCGGCAGAGGCAGTGAATGCTTGCTGAGGCTGGGGTGGTGAGGTTAAGTTATGGAGTGAATGTGTCTGTGCCTGGAAGACTGAGGTCCTGTCTTCCGGACTAGTTCTGCAAATCTTGGTTGGGCAGATCTGGGGCTTCAGGCGAGGACCTCAAGCCTAGAGAGATCGATGATTCTAGGAAGAGGAAGTCCTCACACACAGTCTGCCAGACCATGGTTCAAAGAGCCAGACACTTAGGTACTCTAGCTGCTCCCTCCAGTACCGTTCCTGGAGGTTATTCCGGAAAACCTTAGCCAGAGCTACTTTTCTTCTGCCACGTGGGCTTTCTCTAAGTGGCAAAAAGTATAAATCTTGTATCTTTGGTATTTTCTGGTTAGTTGCCCTCTTTTCTGACCCTACTACTAGTCTCTTCCTCTTCAGAGCCTGGAGAGACATCTGGGGCCAGGGAAAGCAAAAGTTCCAAGAGGTTGGCTGGTGCTGACCCAGTGATTTATGAATATTTCCCATTACCAAGTTTTTCTGGTCAATTTATTCAAAAGGCCATCCGTGTAGATGTAGAAAAAACTTCCTCCTGGATCTGGCCACTCAGTGACTGGTTATATGGTGTTTGGTTTCATGAGGAATAATGCTGACGATCAGAGTAAACTAAGGCATCGTACAGATTGATCCGTACATCCTGGTTTGGATTAGGCCATTAAACAATAGGGCAGGCATCTAGTTCTATGTGTTGCTAAGAGCTTTGCCCTGAAGTTTTATTTTATCATCGAGAAAGAAGACACCTGCTTTGACCCGAAGCTCCGCCCTGGCCTCACAAACAGCAAAGCAATTTTAAAGAGGAGAGATGTTTAAGGCTTGATATGAGGAATTCCTGGGGCCGTAATTTTCAGGTTTAGATGATCTTAGTCCAGCCTTCTTCTTCTAGATCAAATAGGAAGAAACTCTGAACTATCCAAGAATCTCACCCGAAATGCAGACAACACTCAATTGTATCGAAAGCACATTATCCTGTCATGAAAAAATGTCTTCCCTTCTTTCTCATTTCTTGCTCCTCCTCCTCCACATTCCTCATCTAACATTCTTTCACCGTTTTTGAGCAGGAGAAATAGCAAGGAACTGAAATCTAAAGGAGCCGTCCTACTGCTGGTTATCAGCCTCGGCACAGGGCTTGCTGAGCAAGAATTACTGACATCTGGCCACCCCTCTCCCCCAGCATCTGGTATAGTGGGGATTTCAATTAGTCAGGGTCCTGCAGTCCCACATGCAGGACCTAGGATCATTCAGAACTGCCTGCAAAATGGGAAGCAGCCCAGTGGTTTTTAAGCCCGCGGCTTCCAGAGCCCCCAAGGGCTGAACTCTGGATTGTTTCTGATATCTGGTATCTGGCCATGGGACTCTGGTTCTTTAAGATAATAGCTTTTGGAGAAATTGTAGTTCATTTTCTTTTCCTTTATTATAAGAAAGTAAGTTTGTGGGGGTGGGGTGCATGTACATACATATAAAAATTTCCTTTCAGTTGTAGCCCAGGCTTCATTAATTCCCTTCGACCCAGGGCCCTAATACCTAAACCCTAAGGTATTTCTCCTCCGTGTCCCTTGCGCCCCACGTGCTTATAACCTATCTCAGGAAGCTACTTCTTTCTCATCTTCCCATCACTGCTTTTTCAGCTCATTTTGCCAAGAATGTGCAGCCCCTACCGGGGCAGGTTTGGGTGACCCTGTCCTTCAGTGTAACAATGAAGGAATCGCCCATATTGGCTCTGCTTTTGGTTAATAGCTAATTACATGAAACCAGCCAGAAGAACCCCAGAGAGAATATGTGATCCTTGAACAAAATACCAAGTTATGAGGTTGAGGAAGGAAAAACCAAACAACAAAACAAAACTAGCCTCAGAGAGGGCACCAGAACAAAAACAAAAACAAACAAAAAAAAACTGAGACAACCCAAGGAAGTACCTCTGAGTTGGGAGTTTTCCAGGTCTCAAGTCTTACATGATCCTCTCAGGCCCTCATTCACTTGCTTGCCTTCCTTTTGGTCTCTTCATTATTTATTAACACCTTCAAATGGTAAGAGAAAACAAAGAAACAAAAAATTCCCCAAAACCCCATGGCTTAAAGGAGGCACGATCTCAGAAGTAGACTGAGTCCTCTGTCTCCTCACATTGGATCAGAGTGCCAGGAAGTAAACAGTTGCCTCGGAAGGTTGAATTCTCAGTAGTGAGTTATGATCTCTGATACCTAAGACTGTGCTAGCTAGAACTTGATTCTCTTAAAGAGTTAGTATTTTATGTATTTATACGTAGGTGTCTAGGGGGGCTTGGCCAGAGACAGTATGAAAAACAAAGCACCAAATCCTCACTTTGAGGAGATATCATCTCTGTTTTGGGTGAAGGTATCCTTTCTAAGATTTGAGTACTGTTAGAAAAAGTCATGACACAGGAAGTATCATTTTGGCTTTATATATAACCTCAAAATTACCCCAGAGTCAGGATCTCCTCTGTACTTACTTTCCACCCAGACCACAAGAGCCTTTTTCAGTCAGCCACCCTTAGTAACGCCAAGGTATCTTCCTTTAGAAATGAACTTTAGCCTGCATTCCTCTCTCTGCTTAAACAAGCAGACACAATTGGCCACTTTGGTAAGACTTGGTAACAATGCCAGTGAGCATTTGTGATTCTATAGTCAAGCCACAATGGATGGCATAAGAAACCTTCCCTAGTTATCACAGTTTTTGAGACAAGACTGACAAGTTATATGTAGGGAGTGCCTGGAGATGGAATGAATGCCTCAGGAAGCAGCAAGTCCCACGAAACTGGTGGGACATGCAAGCTGGACTGCCATTTGGCACACATCAGAGAGGGGACATGTGCTGAGAAATAAGGGGGGGCCTAAATTAGTTTTCTTTTTTTTTTTCTTTTAATGTTTATTTATTTTGAGATAGAGACAACAAGCAGGGGAGGGGTAGAGAGAAACTCCCAAGCAGGCTCTGTGCTGACAGCAGAATATGTGAGATCTCTAAAACGTGAGATCATGACCTTAGTCGAAATCAAGAGTCGGATGCTTAAATGACTGGGCCACCCAGGTGACCCACTTTTTTTTTTTTTTTTAAAGTAAGCCCTACACCCAATGTGGGACTTGAACTCACAGCCCCAAGATCAAGAGTTGCCCGCTCTACCGACTTTGCCCCAAGCCAGCCAGGTGGCCCAAGGGTGGTCTAGATTAGATATAAAGTCTCTTCTCATCTGAGAGGTGGTGAGTTGAAATAATGCTAATGAGCTCGGTAAGTTACAAAGACTTTTGGTTGGTTGGAATCAAGATCACAGACCTGTTCCAGATTCTGGGAATTGGAAAAGGACATAAAGATTTTGATGAAAATAACCTTGCCAAGGAACACTTGGCTGGCTCTGTTGGTGGAGCATGTAACTCTTGATCTCAGGGTTGTGAATTTGAGCCCCACGTTGGGTGTAAAGATTACTTATAGGGGCGCCTGGGTGGCGCAGTCGGTTAAGCGTCCGACTTCAGCCAGGTCACGATCTCGCGGTCCGTGAGTTCGAGCCCCGCGTCGGGCTCTGGGCTGATGGCTCAGAGCCTGGAGCCTGTTTCCGATTCTGTGTCTCCCTCTCTCTCTGCCCCTCCCCCGTTCATGCTCTGTCTCTCTCTGTCCCAAAAATAAATAAAAACGTTGGAAAAAAAAAATTTAAAAAAAGATTACTTATAAATAAAATCTTAAAAAAATAATAACCTTGCCAAAGTGACCGAGCATGTTTTTCGGATACCCAACAATTATACTCTAAAGTATCCAGGAAGCACTAAGAGTTTGAAAGAAAAATGGAATTTCATTAAAAGAAACACAAGACACTAACACATCAAAAATAAAAGTCTCTAACCCCTCCGTGTCCAGCCTTCCTGTGTAATGACGTAATACCCTAGTACTTATCACCATTGTGGCCGAACAAAAACTTCTAACTTGTTTGCATCTGAATAATAAATTGCAGTCTCCCTGCAACAATGGAATGTCATTATTTTTTAAATCTCCAGAAACAAAGGCTCTGTTTGTCTTCTGAAATCCTGTGTGTACTGAGCCATGCCTGCTTACCCACCTGCAGAGTTAACAGAGCCTCGCTGCACATTCTGTTTGCTGGCGGTTGCTTCACTTCTGTACATCTAGCTTTGTGTTCTCAGGCACATCCAGTGGCAGCTCTGTTTAATCAAAAACCAGGCCTCCTGCTCTGGGCTAATAATTTCCCAGCAAACTCAAAATTCCCCAATCAATGATACCTACAAAGAGAGATTTTCCAGTGAGCAATTAGTTAACTTGGAATAGAGTACTGAAGAGGTAGCTTGGAGATGTGGGTTCTATTTTCTACTTTATCTGTGACTCATAGGACTTTGGGAAAGTTACTTTA